CAGTTGGGAGGCGACAACTCTTTCCAAGACCTTGGAGAGAAAGGGGAGGTTGGAGATGGGCCGGTAGCTTGATAGCTGCGACGCATCAAGGGAGGGTTTTTTCAGGGTGGGCGTGATGATGGCAGTTTTTAATGGAATGGGGACAGAGCCAGAGGAGAGGGACAGGTTTATGATGTCAGTGATGTGTGGGGCAAGAAAATGGAGCTGGGAGATAAGGAGTGGAGTGGGGATGGGGTCAAGGGAGCAGGTGGTTGGTTTTAGGGATAGGATGAGTTCAGTGACAGAGGGTGGGGAAACGGGTACGAAGGTGTGTAGGGGAGGATGGGTAGGAGTCGGAGTGTGGGAGGGAAGGGGTGGGTGGTGGGTGGAAGTTGGAGGGGAAGTGACCGCGGAGCGGATTCCTTTGATCTTGGATTCAAGGAAATCCAGCATCTCCTCGCAGTGAAGGTTGGAGGAGATGACCTGCGCGGGGTGGCGGGGGGGACGGAGGAGTCGGGATGTGGTGGAAAACAGTAGCCTGGGGTTGTTCTTCGCCTCCAGGATTATCCTGGAGTAGAAGGACGACTTGGCCGAGGCTAGAGTGGAGCGGTAAATTTTGAGGAGGTCCAGCCAGATTTGTCGGTGGACCGTTAGGCCAGATTTGACAAAGGTGCGCTCAGCAGCCCGCACCTGGCATTTCAGTGAGCGGAGGTGGGTGGTGTACCAGGGGGAGGAGCGGGAGTAGGAGACAGTGCGGGAAGTGATGGGGGCAAGGAGACCGGCGAGGAGGGCGTTAGAATAGTCCAGCTGAGAGGTGACAAAGGCATGGACCAGGATTTCCGTGGCTTTCGGAGAGAGGTATTGGCGGAGACGGATGATGCATTGGAGGTGGAAAAAGCGGTGCTGATGAGGGACCAGATGTGGGGGAGGAAGGATAATTGGGGGTCGAACCTGACGCTTAGGTTGCGTACAGGTTCGGAGAGTTTTAATGCGAGGTAGGGTAGGTGGAGGAGGTGAGAGCCGTGAGATTTTAGACATTGACGAGAGCCAAAGAGTATGGCTTCTGTCTTGTCAACGTTCAGCTGAAGGAAATTTGCCCTCATCCAGCCCCTGAGGTCTGACAGGCAGGCTGACAGAACATCAGGGGACTGGGGGTCGCAAAGAGAGGTGGAAATTAGAGTTGGGTGTCATCCACATACATGTGGAAATGTACCCCATGTCTGCGGATGACATCCCCAAGAGGGAGCATATAGATCAGAAAGAGGAGGGCGCCAAGGATGGATCCTTGGGGTACCCCGCAGGTAACCGAGTGAGAGCGGGAGGAGAAGCCATTTGTGCAGATGTACTGCTGGCGGTTTGTGAGGTATGACTCGAATCAGGCGGTGCGGTTGTTAGAATTTACACTTTTTGTACAATGTTAGAATCACAATAAATGTTGCGAACGGGTTAACTTTTAAGTTAAGTGTGTTGTGGGCAGCTGGACTGAAACTCCCTGCACGTACACGAGATAACGGACTGTCTCAAGGACAGTGTGTTTGTGTGTGTGTGGCACGTACACCCCATGAGATGTTCACGTGACCCCAGCATGATTTCGACCGGGTGATCTAATGGCCGCACCATGATTGGATGAACATTGGTATAAGGGTTTCGATAACTTTGTGTACGGGGCCGTCCAGGTCGCGGAGACAAGGATACGGGAGATGGAGCCGTCCCGGGTCGCGGAGACGAGGATAAGAGAGATGGAGCCATCTCGGGCTGCGGAGACAAGGGTACGGAGATGGAAGACTGAGAGCTGGAAACACTAAGACTGAGGATATCAGATGGAAGATTGAAAGCTGTAAGCAAGAAGACTGAAAGCATGAAGAATCAAGCTTGTGTGCTGTAAAGACACAGTGTTGGACTCTTGAACTTGAGATATCTATAGTGGTGCTATTCTGTTATAAGATCTGTTGATTGTACCGGCCTTTGGTCTGACCCATCGGGATATTGGGGAATAACGAACGAATAATAATAAAACAGTCTGATATCTGGTTAGAGGAATTAGCGTTATTTCCTTACAGATTTGGCTGATTTTATTTTCTAACAGTTTTGGCGTAGTCGGCAGGATTCCCCAGTAAACAGACAAGGGAGGTACAATCAAGCCTTGACGAACGTTTAATGATGTTGCATGTTTGAATACATCAACGTCTGATTGTTTTTAAAGCTGAATATTTGACCTTACCTAGGAAGTTTGTGATTGTCTCCTTGTCAGGCGTTTGAGTACGCTGGCGATCGCACCAGGCATTTAAGTGCGCTGATGTGCGTGTGAACGACATTCGAATATGTTGATATATTGTGTGTTTATGTGGAAATTGCGTAAGTGATGGAGTAACTTTCGGGCGTTCGAACAGTCAGTGTTCCTCCGGTAAGGAGAGGGACCGGGACCAATAGTAATTGAATGTTGATTTCAATTGTGACTGTGGTTGCTGGAAATAACCTGTTGGTTACGACTGAGCTGTGAAACTCGAGAGAAAGCTCATTAAGAGACTTTGCCTCCTGGAAGTACCATCCTCACTCCCAGGATGTGTGACCTTGTACTATTTTTCTGATTTTATATTATATTCTTTTTGTAGTTTTGTGATACCTCATGTTCATTTGGTATCAAGGTGGGGACTGTTAGAATTTACACTTTTTGTATAATGTTAGAATCACAATAGATGTTGCGAATGGGTTAACTTTTAAGTTAAGTGTGTTGTGGGCAGCTGGACTGAAACTTCCTGCACGTACACGAGATAACGGACTGTCTCAAGGACAGTGTGTTTGTGTGTGTGAGGCAGGTACACCCCATGAGATGTTCACGTGAACCCAGCATGATTTCGACCGGGTGATCTAATGTCCGCACCATGATTGGATGAACATTGGTATAAGAGTTCCGATAACTTTGTGTACGGGGCCGTCGCGGGTCGTGGAGACAAGGATACGGGAGATGGAGCCGTCCCGGGTCGCGGAGACAAGGATACGGGAGATGGAGCCGTCCCGGGTTGCGGAGACAAGGATACGGGAGATGGAGCCATCCCGGGTCGCGGAGGCAAAGATACGGGAGATGGAGCCGACCCGGGTCGCGGAGACAAGGATAAGAGAGATGGAGCCGTCTCAGGCTGGGGAGACAAGGGACGGAGATGGAAGACTGAGAGCTGGAAACACTAAGACTGAGGATATCAGATGGAAGATTGAAAGCTGTAAGCAAGAAGACTGAAAGCATGAAGAATCAAGCTTGTGTGCTGTAAAGACACAGTGTTGAACTCTTGAACTCGAGATATCTATAGTGGTGTTATTCTGTTATAAGATCTGTTGATTGTACTGGCCTTTGGTCTGACCCATCGGGATATTGGGGAATAACGAACGAATAGTAATAAAACAGTCTGATATCTGGTTAGAGGAATTAGAGTTATTTCCTTACAGATTTGGCTGATTTTATTTTCGAACACGGTCCCACTGAGGTGGATGACGGAGGAAAGGTGGTGGAGAAGGATGGCGTGATCAACTGTGTCGAATGTGGTAGAGAGGTCCAGGAGGACAAGAAGGCAGAGGAGCCCTGGTCACAGAGAGGATGTTGTTTGTGACTTTCACAAGTGCAGTTTCTTTACTGTGGGCGGAAACCGGACTGGAGGGGTTCGAAGAGGGAGTGGGAGGAGAGGTGTGCGCGAAGTTGGTTGGCCACAACCCATTCTAGGACTTTTGCGAGGAAGGGCAGGTTAGAGATAGGGCAGCAGTGGCTGGAGTTTGAGGGATCTAAGGAGGTTTTTTTGAGGAAGGGGGTGATGACAGCAGTTTTGAGGGGGGCAGGGACTGATCCGGAGAGGGATTGGTTGATGACGCCAGCCAGTAGTGGGCAAAGGAGGGGGAGCTGGATGACCAGCAAGTTGGTGGGGAGAGGGTCGAGGCAGCAGATGGTGGGTTTCATGGAGGTGATGGTGGGTGAGAGGGAAGAGGAAGAGATGGGGAGAAAGGAATGTAGGATGGGGGTGGTGGGAGGAGCAGATGACGGGGAGGATGAGAGGGACAAAAAGGGCATGGTGGTTGGCGATAAGAGGCAGGTGGATGAGGCTACCTGGCGGATGTTATGTATTTTAGATGAAAAGAAGTCCATGACCTCCTCGCACTCAATGCATTGCGTGACCAAATTTATTTTTGAGGGATTATTAGCCCCGGAAAGCGATCCTCCAATTGACTAACAACCGGATTCCTACTTACTGCTGGGCAAACAGAGGCATGTGAAGTAAGGAAACCTGGCTAAGGTTTCGCCCTGCCCAGGAATCGAACCCGGGTCCTCTACCTTTCAAGGTGAGCACGCTATAGCAATCCCCTCAAATGCACTCATCAGAGAAATACAGCCTTAATCCAATACACTTCTCCAGTACTGCCAGCTCCAAGATATGCGGTGACTTAATTTTTTATATATACACACATATATATATGTGTACATATAAAAACATATATATATATATGTGTGTGGGCCCTGGATTTGGTTTGCAAAATATCGTCACCCTATTTGTAGAGTACTGTCTTTCTGAAGTTTACCAAAAAACGTACATATAACAAAATTGATAAAACGTCTGGAATAAACATTTACTCTTTTTAAAACTGTTCTTGTGCAGTTCTGCTGCCTGCAGTGGGCCATTTCATTTAAACAAGAACCTGGCTGCCTTTCATCCTGTTTTCCACACTGCAACGTTAATCCATCTGAAATAGTTTCCAGCCTTTATGTTAAAAAGTTAACTGGAGGCACTGGGGTTTGAAAACACTACGTTTTGTGCTGTCATTGGTAAAGTGGGATCCTGGGGGGGAGTTGACTCGCTAAGTGTAACCTCACCGAAGCTGCTCAGATCAGATTGCCAGTCAATTGGATATTGGTCCAAATGGGATTAGGCTCAGCCCCTTTCTCATCACATCCCTTGGAGCAAAATGTAACAAAAAAAAATAAAAGCCAAGAGAGCAGCAGATCTCACAACAGGACTCGGATTGCCACCTCTCCCCACGATATGGAACCCAAATCCCAGTCTGGTTTCTATGTGAGCAGGAAGGTGGTGTCCCTCCTTGCCCTGCTCCTGCTTGCCCTGCTGCTGGCAGTGGTTGTGCTGGCGATTCTCTATGCCGGAGCCAGGCTGCCTGGCATCAAAGAGGTGCCCCCCACCGTGGGGCAGCCCCCCAGCCCGGCCCCCCAGCCCACTCCCACTGGCCGATCTGGGGTGTGGAACCACTCCCGTTTGCCCTCCAGCCTCATGCCCTCTCACTACCAGGTGGAGGTCTGGCCCAGGCTGGAGCCGGGGGAGGGCGGGGTGTACCTGTTCAGCGGACAGGTCAATGTCACACTGAGATGCCGCCTGGAGACGCGGGTGGTCCTGATCCACAGCAAAGAGCTGAAATACTCCGGGGTGGGGATCAGCCCGAGAGGGGCTCCCGCCGTCCAGGACACTTGGGTTGAAGCTGTGAATGAGTTCCTGGTGATCGAGCTGGAGAGCGACCTGCAGCCCGGGCAGGACTACACCCTCCAGCTCAACTACAGCGGGCAGCTGGTCGAGGAGCCCACAGGACTCTACATCAGCCACTACCTCGACCAGGGCATCAACAAGTAAGTGAGCAGAGAAACTTCCCAACTCACTCACTCACTCACTCACTCCGCTGCACTCCACTCACTGCACTTCACTGCATTATCACTCCACTCACTGCACTTCACTGCATTATCACTCCACTCACTGCACTTCACTGCATTATCACTCCACTCACTGCACTTCACTGCATTATCACTCCACTCACTGCACTTCACTGCATTATCACTCCACTCACTTCACTGCACTTCACTGCACTTCACTGACTTCACTCCACTTCACTGCACTTCACTGCACTCCACTCCACTCCACTCCACTCACTTCACTCACTCCATTCCAATCCACTCCACTCCACTCCACTCCACTCTACTCTACTCTACTCTACTCCACTCACTCCACTGCATTTCACTCACTCTACTCCACTCCACTCACTCATTCACTCCACTCCACTCACTCCACTCCACTCACACACACCTACTAACTGCAGTTTGAGAAGTGCAGCTCTCACTGAAGCAAAACCAAACCAAAAATGCCTCAGTAAAGTGAATCCATGTCAAACCTCTGGGGTTATTTCCAGAGGGTTATTCCTTCTGAATTGTCAATGGGAGGCTCCGGGGTTTTGCATGGGTCCAATATTTGCAAGGGTTTCTCTCTCTCTCTCTCTCTCTGCTTGTCACTTGTCACTCTTCCTCCCACCCGAAGCTCTGGGCTCTCAGGATTTTTAGGCTTTGCGATCCAGCCACGAATTGGTGGCAAAATGCGTTGCAAAAGTTTGCAAATCTGAAACAGCTTCGAATTCAGAGCTCCCAAATCGTTTCTGGGCAATGTTTTTCCCTCTCATTCTCTCTCTCCCTCTCTCTCTCTTTCTCACTCACTCACTCACTCACTCTCTCCCACACAGTCTGTCCTGCAAGTTTACCCATTTGGTGAGTGCATGCAGATTGCTAATAATATTGCCTTCTGTCACGTTTCAATTAAATACGTTAGTTGACTTTGGGATGGATGTCTGTGATTTCGAATTGCAGTCCCAGTTTTTGGACTGTGTGAGAGGATAGGGTAGAAATGGTAAAATAACAGAATTATTTTGATCATTGACTCTGCAATGGCTCTCCTTTGACCTGTCTGTGAGCCTCAATCAGAATTGTACCCAAATGTATATCCCATTCCAACAAATATGAAGTTTCTAAACTTTCTATCAGCCAGTTGCCACATGCTGTAAAACAGTCTGTCCAGGGGACTGCGGTGATGTAAAATGCGAATGGCTTTTTCTAGACCTCTTTCAATTCCCCTTGCAAATGTTCTCAATTAGGGCTTTATTCTTCTGAACAAATGGGTCTGATTTGGTTCATTTTACTGCAATCCAAAGCGGTGTATTATTTATTCATCTGAATACCACAGCAATTCTAACAATTTTCCACCAGTGCCAGTGTACTGTCAGATTTAATACAGAAAGTCAGCAATTACTTCTTTAGCACGGTACCCACTAGGGAGAAAGACATAAAGATACGTTCCTTCTGCATTTGCCATAAAAATGATTTAAAAAAAACATGATTCCTGATCATGTCTGTGGCTAAAACTATTTCTGCGAGTTTAGCTAATTTAGAGTTTAACGTAGGAAGTGAGTTCATGAAAGCATATCCTTACACAAGAATAAGTTTGAACAAGGGAACTCTTATGTATTAAGAATAGTTTCTAGTTATATACAGAACAGTATTTGACCTTCAACCCACTTACTGACTTTACGCCTTAATTTCACCTACACATTACTTTTTTCAATCTAGGTTGTGCTTGGTGTGACCTCTGAGTGTCTGAGATGCAGACTAAACAGCTTTTCCATATGTATAGTGAAGTGAAACGAATAGCATTTTTTTTTGGTAAAGCCTGGTATCTGATACATGCGAAAACCTAACACTATGCTTAAGAGTCTACAAACCAGACTGAAATTTCCAGACACAGGGAACATTTTTCATTCACTTTTTGGCTGTTTGTGTGCAAATCAACTGCTGCAAAATACTGTCACTACACTTTACACTAAATCCTATGGAGCACTTTCAGATTTCCTCCGATGTGAAAGGCACAATATCCTCCCAGTGGAAAGACATTCAGCCTACCTGCCCTGCTCTCTGGAACTCCATCCTGGAGTCCCTCTGACTCCCTCCCTCACTTTGTTAAAGGTCCTTCTCAAGACCTACCTCTTTGATCACATTTTCACTCACCTTTCTGCTCCCCCTGTTAGCTCCTACCACAGCTTGGGTGCCAAACAGAATGAGTGCCTTGTGACATCCTCCCAAAGTAAAAGGCACTTTACAAATGTAAATATATATCTTATTTTATTATTATTTTTACAGCTAAGGCCTTTAATAATAATTAATAATAATTTAATAATAATAATTAATCCACACGCCTAATAATAATCCCTCCAAAAACAATAATAAATTAATAATAAATAATAAATTGGTCATTTTCAATCTACGACTGTTTGTGGGACATTGCTGTGCGCAATTGGCTGCCGCGTTCGCCCACAAATATACAGTCAATTCACTTTGCAGTGTGTTCTGTGAAGCGCTTTGGGACGTCCTCCCGACGTGAAAAGCGCTATATCAAATGCAAGGATTATTATTGTGGAGTCCTGTAGCTCAGTGGTTAGAGCACTCGCTTTGCAAGTGAGAGACCTGAGTTCAATTCCAGGTCAGGGCGAAACCTTGGGCAAGTTTCCTTACTCCACACGCCTAATAATAATCCCTTCAAAAAAACCAATAATAAATTGGTCATTTTCAATCTACGACTGTTTGTGGGACATTGCTGTGCGCAATTGGCTGCCGCGTTCGCCCACAAATATACAGTCAATTCACTTTGCAGTATGTTCTGTGAAGCGCTTTGGGACGTCCTCCTGACGTGAAAAGCGCTATATCAAATGCAAGGATTATTATTATTATTAAGTCGAGGTATTACTCTATTGAATCAGCATTGGATACCCTACCTATTCTTCCTAAGTTTGGATGCCTAAACCTGAAGGGAGTGAGGTCTGAACAGTGCTCTATATAATTAGATGATTAATAATAAAAAAAATCTACAATATTTTGAAATGCTTTGCTGTTACTCAGATACCACCTGAAGTTTTTTTTTCATATTCCTACCTTGTGTTCTGTATTATTTTCTTTTTCTCTTTTTTCTGCTCTCTATATTGTTCCACGTCTCCAGTCTTGCCATTATCTCTTGTCGTTTCACAAGCCTTTTGTTTTGTTTAAGACTGATGGTAATCATTTTAATTGAACTGTTGCTTCATATCAGAAGTAAAATCTTTGCTGTTCATGGGTATAGACTGGTTTTGGTATGTATATTTCATCTTTTTCAATAGATTCCACTGTTTGCCCGTCAATTTACCGGCCAACAATTCCTGCCACTGTATTCTGACTAATTTTTTCATATCCCCTGAAAATTTACCTGGAGATCAGTACTAGGGTAAGCGATGTAATATTCTGTCAGGAGATCAGTACTTGAATAAGGAGGTAAAACTCTTATCTGTTTTAACAATTGTGGTTACCACATGTGTCAGACACCTGTCTAACCCCTCCAACAAACCACTTATTTTGCCCAAGAGGGATTACTCCTGATTCTTCATTGATCCTATCATAAAGTCCTCATCTGTACAAGCCTTTTTCACCAGGTATAAACCACTAAAAGCAAACATTAGGAAAGCTCCTTAGCTACATAGTCTGTGTTAAATATATAACATTATATATATATCAAGTATATGCAAGACTACAAAGTATATACACTAAATACATTTAACATTTTATGATCAAAATAAACCAATTTCAATCACCACATTTGAATTTGTCTTAATTTTTTGCAAACACCTTTGAGTAGATATGGGGAAATAATAGATACAAGTATTTGGAATAAAAGCATGTGGGCACTGGTTAATGCTTTTAGGAGTCTTAAACAGTTACATCTCAAGATTAAAAAAAAAATTATTCTGGTAGTTTATACATGAGTGAGACATGCTCAGGGATTCATAGACCAGTTAATCTGCCATGATAAAAAGCCTAAATATGTTTTAAGAATCTATTAATATTCAACAATTGTGCAAAATTCCATCTAGTTTTAGAACTAAGATCAAATAAAACAATGAAAAATTCATCAATTCAGACTTAATTTGGAAGCTGGTCCTTTTCATTTCAAGATCCTTGTTTTGATTTTCAAATGCCCCCACACCCTTGTCCTACCCTATCTCTGCTCTCAGTCCATCTCCTCCACCTATTCCCTCCATCTGATAATTTGGGCCTGCTATACACCCCTGCTCACTCTGCCCCACCATTGATGGACAAGCTTTCAGCCTCTATGACCCTTCTTTTTGGAAATATCTCCCCAAGTCCCTCTATCTCACATCCTCTCTTGCTGCTTTCAAAACCCTTCTAAAAATGTATATCTTTGACTGCTCCTTGGCTCATCCCCCTCCTACCTCTCCGACTCGCATCTTGCTCTGTTCCCTGTTCTCTATTCAAGGCATTCTCTTATGTGAAAGTGCAAGTTGTGGTTGTCTAACAACCTACCCCAAACTGAGTTCTAAATAAAGACCGATTTCAAGAATTTTTCACAACTCTGCACAATCTTAAATTTTAAGACTAAGTGGTCTAACAGACTAAGACCAGATAGAATTCCGGAGGTTCAGATTTATGGTGTTGTGTTTGGAGGGATTTCATGTCTGCGGCCAATCTTTAATTCTAAATTAGTCGGACCATAATTATCAGTGATGCCATGTCCCCTTTTCAACCCCATTATATCTCAATTCAGGATTTTTCAAATGATGTATTGGAGAAAGTTCAGATGGAGTGTGTCTAGGGTGAATTGGACAATGTTGATTGATAGGATGGATGATTTTTGGACTTAGGTGTCAGCCTGGCTCAGTGGTAAACTTTCACCTTTGAATCAGAAGGTTGTGGGTTTAAGCCCCACATCAGGACTTGGAATCATATGGTCTTAAACTGACACTCCAGTGCAGTGCTGGAGGTGTGTCGCA